ATGCTGATGATGAGGAAGAGCAGCCTTTCCCCAGGACCCACAGGTGACAGGGACCTCGGGAACCTCAGTGGGTGGTCAGTGGTGGGCATCCCTCTCCTGGACGGGGTCCCACCGTGTGATGGAACTTCCACTGACGTCCGTCTGCCCCCTCCCCACCACCGTCCTGCTCACAGAGGACCTTCAGGTGGGAGTTGGGAGGGCGGGTCTGCTCTGTGCCCACAGGTCACAGGCTGGTTCAGAGAGTGGCCGCTGGTCCCTTCTCAGCCTGTGTGATGGGGTCACTGTGAGTTCATCCTCTGGACCACGGCGTCCTGCAGAGCCAGTCAGTGAAGGGGTGGACCATGGCTCTGACAGTCGACCTTAAAGGATCCAAGTGGGCTGTGGCCTTCACAGTCACCTGCAATGACCTTTACCCTTGGTGCCCTGGGGGGACCCTCGGGGCTGCCCATGACCCTGCCCAACAGGACAATCAGCTGCAAAGGGACAGACGAGAGAGAGGGGAGGGGAGGGGATGGACATGGTTCAGCACTAAAATCTGTGTGAATTATGTACCTCAGTGAACTGCAGCTGCCTCAGTTTCCACACTGTCTACATGAGGCTGTTTCCCAGGGTTTTTGAGAATGAGTGAGATTCACCTGAAGCAGGTAGCACAGCACCCAGTACATGTGAAGTCACCTATAAATGTCAGCTCTGGTTGTTCGAAGCCCCTGACTCACCTTTGGAAAGTTAACTCACTGTCTGCACCCTGGTCTCCTTGTCTCTCGTGTGGAAAAACTGAATGAATGTCAGTGAAGTCCGTCACTCAGTGTGGTTTTAGTGAGTGTTTTCTTGCTGAGATGTTTTGCTGTTCAGGAGGCCCTCAGCTCCAGGTGGGGCATCGAGAAGCAGAGACGTTTCTTCAGCCTGAGGGTCCCCATTCCCATCAGCTGAGCCCTGGGGACACTGGGGTCTCCCAGGGAAGGGGTCAGGCCCTGGGTCAGGCACAAGGGACCTCCCCACTGCTTTCTGTGCTGGGCAAATGGTCAAAGGGCAGTGCGCACTGTCTAATCCCTGAAAACAGGCCTCAGAGGCCCAGAGAAGCGGGTGTGTGGGAAGGTGAAGATGTGAGACCCGTCGAGGGCATTGTAGAACGAGACCTCCCCCAGCTCACAGTCCAGGAAAACCCCCCACCCTCTCAGGGGGGCTCACGTTGGTCAGTGTGGTCTGTGGGTCTGTGAGAGACCGGTAACCCTTCCCAGGATTCAGCTCCACTGTCCAGAACCCATTCTCGGGGGCCATTTTAACTATCCCTTTTCTCATCACATTCTCCCTGCACACCCCAACACACCATTCTTCTCTGTCCCCCACGTCCACCTCCCAGAAGTGTCTCCCTGACGTGAAGCTCTCACAGCCCAGCACACACTCATTCCTGCAAAATCTCTTGGGGTTTTCTGGCAGGTTCTGCCATGTGTCTGCCCAATGAAGGCTCCTCTTGTCCTCAGAAACACGGAGGGCGGGGTGGGCGGTGTCTGGATCCAGAAACACATCCGCTGCAGGGGGTCAGAGGGCGTTGGGGTCAGCCATGGTTTTCAGAGCCTCAGCCTTCCAGGCCTGTGTCTGGGCAGGAGGCCCAGGCCCACAGTCTGGGGTCCCCAGCCCACCCTGGACGTGACCGTCAGCCGTGCCAGGGACACTGCAGGGGTCTGGTGTTTGCTGGGGGAGGGAAGGGTGAGGAGGGCTGGGATCTACCATTTTCCTGTTTCTGCCCCCAAATGCTGTGTCCACCTTTGCTGTAAAGCTACATGGATTAAATGTCAGCCCTGGCTCTGCCCTCCCTGAGCTGGGGGACGTCCTTTCCTGCACAGTCTCTCTTTCCTCAGACACCAGCTACGGAATATCTTGAGTTCAATATCATGTCTGTGAAATGGGGGTAAAAACACTGATCTCTGGGGAGGAATAGGACAAATGGGTGGTATCCCTGAGCCCCAGGCTAGGCACAGAGGAAGTGCCTGGTGTGACAACAGACACCGTGTCCCTCCTGTGCTCGGGGCCAGGCTGGGCTCCATGTGCTCTGGGGTCCACTCCCCACCTGTCCCACCCCCTCTGGCCCAGGACTCAGTCCTCCATGGACAGCACCCCTGGGCCCCTGGGCTCTGGTTACTGTGGGGTTTGGCCAAGGGGAGGTGCAGGCTGAACACGGGAAGGAGGGAGGAGAGGGGGCATAGCGCTGACCCCCACGTCCCCCAGGGAGATGCTCCACCACAGCTCCTCCCCCAGGAGCCCCCCTGAGCCCCAGCTGCCTCCTCCAGGCCCCAGCGAGTCCTCCCTGTTCCTCTGCCCTCGGCCCAGGGGTGGTCACAGCCCCCACTGCTGGGAGCCCTGGGGCCTCATCTGTCCTTGTTGGTTTCCCTAATGTCACCCCACCTGTCACTGTGAACACACCCAACCCCATCTCTGTGTCAGGGATTTCCTTCACCTCTTCCTGCTGTGACCTTTGACCCACCTCACTGTCCTCAGCCAGCACACCAAGGCCTCCAGGTGACGGTCATCCGTGTCCCTTAAACACGGCCATGAGCACTTTTGTCACTAACAGCCAGAGTGACAGGGGCACTGAGGTCAACTCCACACTGGGGATCGTGTGGATTATAAAGGGTCACCTGTCACAGGACCACCGGGAGGTGTGGCTGGTGCTGCCCCATTCTTTGTCCCTGTTCCTGTCAGTCATCAGTGCCCGAGTCACAGTGTGAGAAAGTGCTGTAAGGGGGTGTGTTGTCAGGGAATAATCTGTGCAGGTTGTGGGGTCCTCTGTCCTCTCTGACCCTGCACCCCTGGGAGTGAATCACCCTACAGCACAGTCTGTTTCGCAGTCTGAGGAGTTGTCTGCATCGCTTTTTAGGTCTTAAGACACCTTCTCCTCACCCGTGGTCATTACCGTCAGACAAACACCCCCTTCAAACAGGCCGACTGTTTCCTGTGGGTGTTCTGACAACACACAGTCACCCCCTCACTCAGTCCTTGTCCCAGCCCTCACAGAGCAGGAGTGACTGTGGAACACCGCAGAACTCGGGGGCACACAGGGGCAGGAGGGGAGGAGCCTGGTCAGGACATCCCCTCCATCTCCCTGCAGCCCCTTCCTCCAGCCCCTTCCTCCTGCCTCTTCCTCCCACAGAGACCTGTGGACCCCAGGACAGCTTCTGTCCCTGGTCCCTGGGCTCTGGGCAGCAGGTGGGCACACCTTTGAGACCTTGACCTCAGGTCACCCCCCAGAACTGTCCCTGTCAAGAGTTGGAGAGGAAAGAGGGAGCAGGGGCCCTCGGGGGTTGTCCTGGGGACACAGAGGGACCCACTCACCAGGCTGGAAGAGGGCCGTCTTCCACTGCTGGAAGGAAGGAGACACAGACAAGGAAAGGTCACTCTTTCTGTCCCCCCCCCCCCCGCCACTGTCCTCACTGAGCCTCTTCTCTCTCCTCCCCTCAGTCCCCTCCAAAGCCCACTCCCCTCGTCTGCAGCTCTGCGGGCCAGGCTGCACCCTCTCCCAGTGCTGGGCTTCCCCCCATCACGCTGGGGCCGTGGGGACACGACCAGGCTGTGCCGGGTGTGGGCGTGGGTGTCAGCAGGGTGAGGGGACACTGGGTCTGGAAGGTCCTCTCTGAGTGACCAGACAGGAGGGGGGCGGTGCAGACACAGAGAATGAGCCTCTGAGCAGGATGGGGATGGCCCCTCCCCCAGCAGGAAAGGCTGCACCTGCTTCCCCCACAGGAGCCAGGAAACCAGAGAGCCTCAGGCTCACTCACCTGCATAGGCCTGAGACCGCTCCCCACCTGCAGTGGAGACAGACAGTCACCTGAACTGTCCTTTCTGAGTTGGTTCCTTTCTCTCCCTGGTGCCCCATGTCATCATCCTGTGTGCCCCCCCCACCCTCCCCACCTCCCCCTCTGCCTGTTCCCTCCCCGGCGCCCCTCCTCTTTCCATCAGCTGCAGCTCAGGACCCCCAGGCGCCCTGCAGGGGCTGTCCCAGGGTCACCGCACAGCTGTCCTGTCCGTGTCTGTGCAGCAGTCACCTCTCATCCCTGCTTTAGCTTCTGAAGTTTCAGTTACCTTCTTGACAACCACGGTCGGGGAATAGTGAATAGAAAATTCGCAGAAACAAACAATTCATAAGTTTTAAATTGCAGATCAGTCTCAGCGGCGTGATGAGGTCCCCTGCTGTCTGCTCTGACCTGGCGCCTTCAGAACTTTCTCAGAGTCCAGCACCTCCACCCAGAGTCCTCTGCCCTTAGTCACTGAGGAGCGTCTCTGTGACATATAGACGGTCCAAGTATCACAGCACTGGTGTTCAGTCAGCCTTATTTTACTTAATATCGATTCCAACGTGCAAGAACAGTGATGCTGCAGTGCTGGTGTGCTAATGAGAAACCTTCCTTTACTTGAAAAGGAAAAGTGTCGTGTATTCAAGGTTTGGGACTATCTGGTCAGACAGCCCCTGGGGCACCTGGACCATGACCCTGTCATATAAGTGATGACCGGGTTCTCCAGGACCTGAGTGTGTCTGCGCACACGCTGCCCCATGTGCACACGCGTGTACCTGTGTGCTGGGGTTCATTCCCCTCAGTCTGCATTATTTCCTGCCCACTCCGGAGACAATGGACCAACCTAATGGGAAAAATTTCAGATACTATGTTTTTCAGCAGTAACGGTAAGTCTGGGACAACTGACGCAGCCACTCCCGCTTTTAAGACACTTTTCTCTCCTTCTGCCTTTCTTGTCAGTGCGCTACAGAGTTTGTGAACCAACCAGGGCGGGAAGGACTCACATGCTGAGTCACCTCCCCCTCCCCCTTTCTGGTATTCCGGGGTGTTCCGCGGCAGCGCCCCCTGGTGGAGGGAGGCAAAGACCGTTCCCCACTGAGACAGACCACAGCCTGGTCCCCGCATCAGCGCCCTCATTCCTGCCCCTGGGAGGTTAGGCAGGACGGAAGGGACTGAAATATCTGAGCAGAGAGGCTGAGAGTCCAGTCCGGGTCACTCACGTGGTAGGTACGGGATGTTTGTCCACCCTGCAGGGAACAACGTGAGGGGTCAGTGACTCGTGTAATGCAGGGACCCGAGGACGCGTGGGCCGGGGACCGCCACTTACTGAGTTTGTCCTGCAGCATCTCTGGAAATAAACAGAAAAAGAAACTCCTTTAAAGGGAATCAAACAGAGGACCCGCGTGGTAGGTGCGGCCTGTGGTGGGGAAGTGGCGATCACCTGCAGAGGGGCCTCACCTTTGGTGCTTCGCTCCGTCTCCTTCTCCTGGGACAGGGCCTGGATCTTCTTCTGCTGTCGCCACAGGAAGTAGCCCGCCCCCGCCAGGAGCCCCAGCAGAGCCGGCAGGGTCACGCCCAGGGCCACCACCCAGGGCTGCGCGTTCCGGAAGAAGGGGCCTGCGAAGGGTGAGCCTCAGCTGATGGCCACCCTGGGTCTCAGAGTATCTGGGGACCGAAAACAATCGTTCTCTCCCCGAAGTGCCCAGAACTTTCACTGGCACATAACACCGTTGTCTTGAAGTAACTGCCTCTCACATGGGAATATTTTGAAATTAAAAGAACATTATATACAAGAACATTGAAATCTCTCCACTGCTCCTCCCTCTGCCATTTATTATCTCTTTCTGAGTCACTTTACTCTGGGGATTAAGAATGTGAACTTTGGGACTGGAGACCTGGGTTTTAATTCTGGGTCTTCCACCTGACTAGCTCTGTGACCTTGAACTAATGACTTAAGCATCTGTTTCTGGTGTCCTGATGGGTCAGAGATTAAGTTAATGTTTATACAGTGCCTGACACATAGTGAGTCCATGCAAGTTTTATTATATTTTAAAAATATTAATATGTTTATTTTATCTTGTTCACACCGCAGACAGCACTCTACTCCAGCGGGTCCACAGGTTGTTCTCCCTGCTCCCCCGGGTCTGGGCGACCTTCCCGCCTCAGCACAGGGGGCAGGTCTGTGTCTGCTCTCACAGGGCAGCGCCCCCTGCACACACGGCCCCTCGGGGGCACTTGCACCGTCTCTGACTCTTTGTTAAAATGGTTAATGATACAGGAAATAACCCTTTATATGAGGCATTAAGTAGAAATGTGACCTGATCTGTCAGATAAAGTCCCAGAAGTGGGATCTTGCGTAACTGAGTGAGCACTCTGGATAAGGAGGTTGTGGTGTCCCCAGTGGCAGTTGTGCTTATTGACACCAAAACTACATCAAACAATAGCCACAAACCTCTAAGAGAGACTGTCTTCCAAAATTCCAACATCAGAATGTGTTACCAACCACCTCGTTTTCACCTTTGTTGCCAGTCTCATAGGTGGAAATATCTCCCTAGGCAGTCAGATTGGACACCTTTTTGTGAGTTACTACCTGTTCTTTGAACTGATAACTTCTGTTCTTTGGTCATTGTTGTACTTGGTTGTTTAATATTTTAAGGAGATCAGCCCTGTTTCTAAGATTTGTGTTGTACATATTTTTCCCCTTTTCTCATGTCTTTGCTGATCTTGACCATTTGTCCCCCAGTTCCCATCCCCTGGCACCGTGTGTGGCCACAGGAAGAGCTCAGAAGGTGTCTGTGACTCAAACAGCTTCATGGGGAAGGAGCAGCAGGTCCCTGCTCTGTCCCTTCTGTTCCCTGCACAGACCCAGGTCAGCAGCAGACAACCACACCTTCCCCCAGGGGCCACCCAGGAGCCCAGGGCAGTGGGCAGGGCACTCACCTGGGATGGAAAGCCGTGGCTGATGACCTCTCCTGGCCCAGCAGGGGGTTTCTGATGACACAGGAGACCCCCTCCCCAGAGCCACCTTCCCAGGATCACAGAGGCTGAGGCTGCATAAAGGCCCTGGGGGGTCTGCAGCCTCTGTGGCCACCTCAGCAGACAAGCTGTGTCCCCTGGCGTCTCTCCACTGGATCTGGGGCTGCGGGTACCAGCCGGCAGACGTGCACTCCACACGGATCCCTCCAGCCTCGTAGCCCTTCATTTCAACGTGGGGGTCAGAGCCCAGTGCTGGGGAGGAACAGTGAGTCTGAATCATGGGGAGCCCTCTGCACTGGTGAGGGTCTCCACAGCAGGGAGGGACACACCCACCCTGGAAGAGCCCAGCAGGGATTCACAGGAGCTGTTCCCAGAGTGTGCTGTGCAGGAGAGACTGACCCACAGCGTGACCACTGCCTGACCATTGCTGGACCCTCATGCTGGATCCAGGGGCGATCTGGGCTAGAACAGACATTGCTTCCCCTGAATGTCCTTAGATACTGCTGGGCCCTCCCCTCCCCCATGGCCCAGACATGCTGGTTCCTGGAACAGCCCCTGACCCCACCCTGAACAAATGTGGAGGTGGTTCCCTGTTATCTGAAGCAGGTCCCATCCCAGTGCCCCTATCCTTCCCGCCTGTCCCTGTGTGAGCCTCAGCCCTGCCGTGTGTGGGGGAAAGATATGAGCTTGTCTTGCCGACGCCCAAGCTCTGCATTTGCATGTAGGTCCCCTCAGTAGAGGTCTTGCTGTAATTAATGCTACTGTTGTCAGCCTGTTTTTGAGTCTCCCAACCCAGGGAAAGCTTGTAGGGATGTGGTCATGTAGAAAGGGAGACAACTTCCTCAAAGAACAGAGCTGACCTGCAGGGCCCTGGGGACAGTAGAGCTGTTACTGCCCATGTCTCTAGCCCTCAGCACACCAAGAGGGGCGTGGGGAGCAGCCTGTTTGCGAGACCTGAGGGGACAGAGTCCCTCGTAGGGAGGGACTTTCTTAAGAGGACCTGTGGTCTCCAGGGAGGGACAGTGTCTGGCTCAGGAGGCCCCTACAGGGACAAAGCCAGGGACCCCCCACAGTCCATCCCTCTGCCAGGGCTCCCCAGGGACCCACCAGGCAGAAGCCCAGGGCAGGGGCTGTGTCCTGAGAAGGTGAAGTGCAGCCCTGACACCCGGACACGAGCACTTTCATGGGGGCAGCACCTCAGACAAGGTCACTCTGTCCCTGGGACGGGTCAGGACACAGTCAAGACCACTCAGCAGTCGGTCTGAGCACAGAGGAAGCAGGAACAGTGTGCAGACCTCAGCAGTGACCACCCTCCCCTGTCCTGGCTGGGAGTGACCCATGACACCCCTGCACCTTCCTGACAGCATCCAGCCCAGAGCAGAGCCCTGCTTCCACATCCCCCCAAGTCCCCTGACAGCCCAGGGGTCACACCCAGTCCTCCCTGACACCCCCTCTCTGAGACACCCCGGTTTCCTCCCCTGTGTGTCCCCCCTCACTGCTCCAGGGATGGACACACCCTGTTCAAACTGCACGTGTGTCCCGGGGCCTTTGGTTGGAGGGTGTGGGCACTGCAGGTGCTGTCCCTGCAGCCCAGCCCCCTGGACCCACAGCAGCGGGCACCTGGGGGCCCACGGCCACTGTCTGGGACACACTGAACCCAAACACCTTTGTGCCACCCACTGCAGTGGAAGTGTCCTCCTCATTCTTCCTGTCCCCAACCTCCACTTCCCTGCTGAGACCTGGTGGGCGGCGTGAGGGACTCTTCACTGGATGCAGGAGGAGCCCTTTCTGGGGGACGACCTGGGTCTGTTACAAGGCCTCAGAGAAGCAGGGAGGTAGGTGGGGGGGCAGGTGCTGGTGAGGAGCTGAGAGAGCTCTCAGGTGGGCCTGGAGCCTCTGTACCTGCCCCACAGGAAACAAGCTCAGATCAAACCTGAGACTCACCTGCAACCTTCAGCTCCACCTGGGCTTTTGCATAGAAATCTCCATCTTGGAAATAACACAGGTAGGTTCCGCTGTCAGAGGCTCTGATATCCTGAATCCAGAGAGCAGCCTTCCCCGCAGTGATGTCCTCTCTTAAAATCGAAGTTCTCCCTCGATACTCTGCTGCCGGCATGACTTCCTGCCCGTGTGCGTACGTGTGCACTACCTGCCTGGGGCTGGATCGCTCCCACCTCAGCTGCATGGTGTCAGCGCTCATCTCCGGGGACAGGTGACAGGGCAGCTCAGCGACTTCACCCTCAATGGCCAGGATGGGCTCGGGGGGTCCAACCACAGCGAAATCAGCTGGTCATCAGAAGAGGGGCTCCGTCAGAGGGAGCTGGGGCCAGAGGGACCAGGGGGTGCCCCCAGCAGGGAGGGTGAGGGGAAGGGACTCCTAGACAGGAACTCAGTCCTCACACAGGTGTGGTCTGGACGGGCCTTGCAGGGGGTGGGGGGAGTCCCAGGGTTCTGACTGGGCCCCCAAGGGAAAGGCTTCAGGTGCACAAACGCAGAGCAGGTCCTACCTGAGCAGGGGCTGAGCAGCTGGACCACGGCGAGGCAGACAGGGAGGGCAGGCAGACGGAGGACCAGGTGCCTCACCATCGTTCCCTCTTTGGCAGAGAGAGATGCCAGCAGGGGCTGGGTAGCAGTGATGACCTTGGAGAAGGTGGAGAATTCAACGTGGAGGCGCGGCCTCCCCAGGGCCGACCCGGGGTGCAAACGGGATCCCTGCTGACCCGGGAGCCTCCTCTGCAAATGTCTCCTGGGGAGTCTCCTAACCTTGTATCCCAACATGGAAACCACCCAGGAAACATGGAACGGTAGTGCACATACCTTAACCTCTCCAGCAGGGAGTGCGGGGCTCTCCTGTGCGAATGTGCTCAGAAGTCCCTCCACTCACCCACACGTCCCTGCCACAGCCAGTTGTGGGCACCCTCAGCATCACCCTCTGAGGAAGGCAGGCCCTTCTCCTCTGAGTCCCCAATCCCTCTGCTGCCCCCTGCAGGCCGTGCTCTGCACAGCAGCCAGGACGTCCTGACCCCTCCCCTCCCTGCTGCTCAGCCCCTCCCAGGGGCTCCCCTTCCATCCAGAGCAGAAGCTGAAGTCCTTGGCACCTTATGATTTTTAAGTTAACTGCATGTTTTTAATGAAGAGTTTTCCACGTGCGGTATGTATTTTCGCATATTTTGAAGAATATGTATGGTTTTTAAATTTCTGATTATAGACAAATTTAAAATGAAAAATACATAAATGGATAATACATGAATAATTTATAACAGTGATCATATATGTTGCTTAACATGAATGTAAATACTTCTGGATATGTTTGGTCACATATCTGCACCAAGTGCCTTAAAAATGTTTCATCCTTTTACCACAAATTTGACATGCAGGAATTACTCTCAAAACACACATAAAAAAATGAGGCATTAACACAAAGGTTTATATTTAATGCTGTTCAACATAGAAAAATCTACAACAGAAAAATACAGAGACAGTTTAAATGCCTACATTGCATTCAATTTTGTTACAAACATAAGTAAAAACTTTTTAAGAAACATGATTACTTAGCCAACAACCAACATAATACTCAGTGGTGAAAAGCTGAAAACTTTTCTGGTGGGATCAGGAAAGAGATGCCCACTGTGGCCACTTCCACTGAGGACGGTACTGGGGGTGTAGCCCCCGGTCAGACTGGACAAAGAAAGGAAAGGCATACAAACCAGACAGGAGGAAGTTAGACTCTCACTACATGCAGATCACATGACACAATGTACAGGAAAGCCTGAGGACTCCACCAAAAAGATAAACTACTAGAACTACTAAGTGAACTCAATAACGTTTCAGGATACAAAATCACAAACCTGTTGCATTTCCAACAGCAACACTGAATAATCAGAGAAAAAAAATTATACATCCCATTTACAATTTCATCAAAAAGCATAACACGTCTAGGAATAAATTCAACCAAAGAGTCAAAAGAGCTCCACCCTGAAAACATGAGAAAAGGAAGAAAGAAACTGAGGAGGATACAAATGAATGAAAGGATACACTGTGCTCCTGGGTTGGAAGGATTCATCTGGTAACATTGTAATAGGGAGAGAGGGAGAGAGAGGGAGAGACAGAAACATCTATTGGCTGCCTCTCCTAGGCTCCCCAACCAACACCTAATAATCGAAGCAACAACCTAAATTTGTGTCCTGACCAGGATTCAAAGCCACAACCTTCCCCCGTATGGGATGCTGCCCCAACCCCCTGAGCCACACTAGCCAAGGTTTTACATCTAAATCTTTAAGACACTCACATCACAGCCCACCACGCCATTCCTCCACCGTTGTTTCTGTAAGTGATGACCTGCTAACTGTAGGGCTGGTCAAGGGGTTCACTCAGTTTGAAGTAAAAATAAAAACACATTTTCATTTTTACCAGTAATTGATTGAACAACATATTCACCAAACAAACAAACATTTTGGCCAACACAACACTATGTGACTGCAGATAAACAGCCAGTTTGCTGAAGAATTCCAGACACCAACTTCACTCACTCCACCCTCAGACATTCAGCTCTGGGAGGTTTGCTGACCTGACCAGTCACCTGAACAGACTGTGTTGTTTGCACGTTGTCCCCTGGATGCAGAAATCTCAACACCCTCTTTTCTGTGTCTTTGTTGTGTATCTTTTTTTCCTTTCTCCCTCATTACAAAAACCATGCCTGTGTGCGATTGTGCAGATGGTCTTTGAGCTGAGACCCCATCATCTGGAGCTGCAAGCCTACTTTCCTCCCACCATCCATTCCTGTCTCTCAAGTACTGGCTTTCGAGTGGCAGGCAGCTAAACCTGGTGTCAACTTCTCTTCTGGAATCTCCTAGAACACGTTCCCAGAGACGAGCAGGAGAGACTGTGAGGGGCCTTGCTCCTCTCTGACCACAGGAAGTTCCCAGGGACGGGCAGGTGTCCAGCTCCCTGGTTCCCGTTGTCTCCCTCGCACAGGTGTCCCAGTGCAGACCTTACCTGCCCTGCTCCACGCTCCCCCTGTGCCCTCACCTGCAGGCTCACAGACCCACACTCCTTCTCTGGCTGAGGGACACCCTGCAGGCTCCCCCAGCTCCTCAGCCTCTCTCCCAAGGGGCCCTGGGGCCCTGGCTCTCACCAGCTCCCCGCAATTACCCTTGGCTCTCCAGCTGAAAATCCTAGAACTCAGGTATTCCACAGCTGTCCCTTAGAGTTGGGTCTCTGACCTGGAAGACAGTGTGGGGAAGAGGAAAGCACGCTCACCCAGAGGAACAGAGCTGAGCCCTTCTCTCAAAGCCCTTTGTTCTGATTGGCTCAGAGCCTGGGTCTCATCAGTTGCTGGGCAGAAACCCGTGGGTAACGTTGGCATGAGCTGGGACCCAGAGATGGATGGAGCAGTGCAGACCAGCTCCAGCCCTGACTCCCCCCTCTGGGTCTCTCTGTGTGCTCACCTGCGTGAATCAGTCCTGGGTGTGGGTGGGTGTGAGCAGTATCTCACTGTACACACCTGCTTCATGTCACTTGTGTCACAGTGTGTTCAGCAGAGGAACCAGGACAGAGCAGCAGAGGGCAGTGTGGGAGCAGAGGAGGGTGCAGGAGTTACAGGGTCACTGTGGTCGTTGGCTAACGTCTTTGACAGCAGAGCCCAGTGCAGGAGTGACAGAGAGAGGGCAGGCCCACGCCACCTGTCCTGGCCCCTGTGACACTCAGGTCTCAGATCCACTCCCAGGCAGCACTGTGTTCAGGTTCCCACGGGCGGTGCTGTCAGGGGCCGATGGGCAGGTTCCAGGTTTTCCAGAGAAGGTTCATGGGGGTGTTGCTGAGAGGGTCCATCCACCCTCTGCCCCCATCTGAGCTGCACCTGGGTTTCAGGTGTGCCCACTTCTCTCTGCTGCAGGGTCTGTGTTCTCTGAGGTTGGGTGGGAGAGGATGTGAGTGTGTCTGTCAGGGGACTTGGGGACCAGCAGGGTCCACCTGTGGCCTGGGGCCTCCAGAGACACTCTATTTAGGTCTCAAGGCTGTGAGTTGAGCCCCCAGGGCAGAGTGTGACTGTGGCTGATGGACTCTGATGCATTCCATGGCTTGAATGTGGGTTCTGGGGTGGAGGCGGCTGCTCCCTTGTGCCACATCTGTTCCCTGCTGCTCCTCAGTGAACAGACCAAATTTGGGGGAGAGGGTACTGCACTGTGCCCATCCCCCTTGTTGATGGGAGAGGCTGAGGGACTGAGTTTGAGCCGATGGTTTGCAGGTGGGTGCTGTGTGTTGTGTTTCTCCAGAGAGATCCATGCTCCTCCCACTCCCTCCTTCCTCTTGGGTGGACACCATCTCTGGACCTGGAGCTCAGCAGCCATCTTGTCACCCAGAGGCCACCTGGGGATGGACGCCACACACTGAGAGGGCAGAGAATGGAGACAGGTGGAGGCTGGGGCGTGGATGCCTCTCTGAGCTCTCAGACCAGCCCTGGACCGCCGCCCTCTGGGGTCATCTCCCGTGAGAGGAACGTGAACCATTTTTAGTTGAAGCCCCGGGCACCTCTGGTCTCTGTTACCAGCAGCAGAACCCGGTTCTTCCCGCCCCACCCCCTCTGTCAGCAGTTTGTCGGGAAAACTACAAACACAGAGCACAGCTGAGGGAATGTTTCAATGAACACTGAATATACCTACTGCTCATTTTTAAATATTTTCTTCTTAAAATAATTTCATATGATTTCAAATTAATTCATTGGGGTGATACTGGCCTCCCAAACCCTAAACCCGATGAAACGTCATCTGCACACACGGCATCATGTGCCCATCCCCCCAGCAAAGTCTCTTTCTGTCCCCAGTTCCCCTCCTTTTCCCACCTCTACCCACCCCACACCCCTTTCCTCTGCTGTCACCTCAGTGTTTCTGCGTCTACGGGTTAACTGTATGAGGGGGACCACCCCCCAAATACCCTGGGAGTATCTTTGGGAGGGCAGGCCTCTTGTAGTCCAGGCTCCCCGGACTACACACACTTACCTTGTCATGTACAAGGAACATGTTACAGTACACGCTCACTTTCCCTGGATGCCCCTGTGCGTAGTTACTCACCTGGAGCCTTTTAAACTGAGTTATGACATCAGTTCACGTCCCCCCTGGGAACTTGCACCCACCTGTCAGGAGGAGCTCAGTCCTGAAATGCACGAGGCACCAAAGCTGTGCTTCACGTATGGATGCAGGAGTAGTTTTCAGTCGTGTGTTCAAAGTGATCAGTGGATGGTTTTTACGTGGGTGACCCCGGGTTCTAAATGTATGCTCATCCCCAGTCTCAAGGACACTCTGACCCAGGTCCCTGGCCCCTCCTCCAAAGGTCTAGGCCACCTCCAGCAGCTGGTCCCCGACAGCCCGACCCAGGACAAGCACCGACTCAGGCCCCTCCGGCCCCGCCCGGGCACCTGGTGCCGGAGGTTCTCGACTCTCCGCTGAGCTGCTCGGTGGGAAAGACGGCGCAGCAAGGCAGGGAGGGGGCGGGACACACGTCTCCCCCGCTGACTCGGCCGTCCTGGGCCTGGTCCCCGAGTTATGCCAGGTGTCCCGACATCCCAAGAAACACCTGCCAGCACAGGAGGG